GGAAATATAATCAATTGTATCATTTGATGGTAATGTGAAATTACCAGCCCTAAATATATAATAAACATTTATTTAAGAAAATCGTTTTGAAAATACATTTACCAGATTGTAGTTAATACACCTGTATCAGGAAACAACGATGAGCCAATGTAAGCTTCACCATATGAAGTATCAGTTGGACGAATACCAAAATCACGCCATGGTCGAGTTAATTCCCGACGTGTACAATTACGAGCTTTGAAATTGTAAACAAATTCAATTTTCGAATCAAAAAGGGCAATTGTATCATAAAAATCATCTTGACTTCCTTCCTCGATTTCTTCAACGAGACGTTCACGATGATAGGTAGCATCATAACTTAGTCTTCCTTCTAATGCAAATTTTTCTTGTTCATTAACGTCAAAAATACGTGCTTCCCATTGCGGTGGAGTAGTACATGGAACCGGTCGTTGTGCTACTGCAATACCAATTACACAAAGAATAAGAGCTACAAGCATTGTTCTGTTTGTTAGCAATGAAACAATAAATGAAAAAGAAATTGTGTCGTAGATTGTGAAAAGACACTACTCCTCTATATATATATAAAGCTGTGAGGAGAGTATAGTCAACATTGTTGTCAGTAATCTTGATTCAACAAAAAAAAAAAGTAGGACTTCTGTGTACTTTCAGTTATCAGTATCGTCCAATCTAACACAACACATATGTGGTGGCTAAAAAAAAGATTAAATGAAATAATAATGCGTTAAATAGTTTTTTTTTCTAGAATGAATTCATCCAGGATAAAAATCGTGAATGAATGATCAACTAGTAAAATGTTAGCATTTTTCTTCATTATTATTCGCATTTTCTGATGTGATATATCAAGCCTGCATGAAAACTATTTCAATTCACGAAATAAAACTTTGAAATATTTTTACATAAATCCATAAATAGATCATTAGGTAAATAATAAGAATATCTTTATATACATCTGTGGAAGATATATCATTGAAAAGTTTATCGGTTTCTTTTATTAGATGGCCAGTTACATGTTTTATTCTTTTAACAGCCAGTATTTTGCAAAGAAAAAAAAATTTCAATATTACTTAAATTTTAAAAATATGTTCTCTAGATATCAGTTTTGTCACTATACTAAAAAGTATTGTATGTCCCTTTTTTTTGCCCGTAGACATTCTGATCATAGAATAAATGCATTAAAACCATTGATATTGACTGTAATGTCATAGAATGGTAAGTTTGAGATGCCATATTTTTCAATAAAACTTGTTCATCACATTGAAAGACGATTTCTATGTCTCCATATTGAGACATAATCAATGGTATCCAATGATAGTAATGTAAAATCGTCACTCTTAAATATACAGCACGCATCGGCTTTAAAAAAAACTTGAAAGAAACACTTAAAAAACTGTAATGAGCCTTATTCCCATTTCGATTTTTGGCCACGAACATGTATAAAAGTGGCCACGCAATAAATTACGTGTTATTGAGGACGGTCTCTTGTCTTTTATCTCTCTTTATGAATCGTCTTCGTTGTTTAAACAACGAAGACGATTCATAAAGAGAGA